GTTTGTTCCCAGGTGCGCCAGGGGCTGAAATCCTTCTCCAACTGGCCCACGTACCCCCAGCTCTACGTCAAGGGGGAGCTGGTGGGGGGGCTGGACATTGTCAAGGTAGGAGCTGCTTTTATTTGCAATAAAAACTCCATTTATTGCATTTCAAATTTCCATTTCTAGGAGTTTTCCTGCCTGTCCCCCACAGAACCCCTGCAGCCGCCCCAGGATGCTTTTCCAGGGAAAGGAGCTTTCACTCTCCAATGAATGACTGGAGAAATCTCATTTTCACCTCTTTTTTTTGCATTTTTCTCATCCTTAATTTTGCTCCTGGTGTTGGTTTTTTGCCAGGAAACATTCCTGGGGAAAAGGGAATTTTCTGGGAGTTGTTGGAGCAGCCCCAGAGTTCCCAAATCCTCCTGAGCCCATTCCTGGATGGTTCAGAGCCAATTCCTCAGACTCTGGCACTCCTGGAATGCCCAATCAATAAATCCCATTTAATTCTGAAAATCCTGGGACTACTGAAATTACACAGATTTGTTTGATTTATTTAACAAGGGTGAGGGATTGCCGCAATTACATAGATTAATATTATTTACAAAGATTAATTTTACTTCAGTTACATAGATTAATTTCATTTATATAGATTAATGTTACTTAAACTATATGGATTAATTTATTTACAAAGATTAATTTTACCTCAATTGTATAGCTTTATTTTTATAAATCAACTTTACTTCAATTATATAGACTAGTTTTACTTAAAGTATATAAATTTTTATTCAGTTAACAAGTGTAGGGATTGCTTCAATTCTTATATAAATTTATTATTGAAAATATTGTATAAAATTATTATATAAATAATAATTTGATTTATAGATACTATTTTTACCTAAATTCTGTAGATTAATTTTATTTATGTGGATTAACTTTATTAAATTATATGGATTAATTCTATTTATATAGATTAATTTTACCTTAGGTGTATAATTAATTCTGTTTATTTAACGAGTGTAGGGATTGCTTATATAGATTAAGCAATCGAGGGANGGAAACCCTCTGTGAATTCCTGCTTTATCAGAAGTGCCTCAAGAATTTATTGACTTGCAGAATTCTTGCAGTTTTTCAATGTCTTTTGGGGTTTGTATATTTAAGTCCAAGAATTTTTACTTATATTCGTGGTTTAATTTCTGCTTATAGCAAGAATCTATTTATATATTTATATATATATCTATATCTATATCTATATGTATATCTATTTATGCATTTATAATCTCTATATGTCCATATGTATCTATATATTTATAGATATGCCTTTATATTTCTGTATCTATATTTCTAAATTTCTATATTTCTATATTTATATATTTATATATTTATATACCTATGTATATATTTATAAACACATATCTCTATTTCTATAGTTCCATATATATCTATATGTGTATCTATTTATGTATTTATAATCTATATCTATTTATATATCTATATGTATCTATATATTTATAGACATGCCTTTATATTTCTGTATCTATATTTCTAAATTTCTATATTTCTATATTTATATATCTATGTATATATTTATAAACACATATCTCTATTTCTATATTTCCATATTTATATATATATCTATATGTATATCTATTTATGCATTTATAATCTGTATCAATTTATATATCTATACGTATCTATATATTTATAGATATGCCTCTATATCTCTGTATCTATATTTCTAAATTTCTAAATTTATATATTTATATATTTTTATATTTATATATTTATATATTTATATATCTATGTATATATTTATAAACACATATCTCTATTTCTATATTTCCATATTTCTATTTATACATCTGTATACATCTACTTATATATTTATATATCTGTATCTATAAGTGGATATATAGATATAGATTCATTCTTGTCTCTCTTTAGCCATTTATTCTTTAAAAATAACTGGGAAAATCATCTTTTTAAGCCTTTTCCAGCTTTATTTGCTACAGATTTCCCAACTCTGGTGTCACTGGAGGGAATCCCTGCCTGGTTCTTCTCCCTGCTCAGTGCAATGCAGAAATAATTCAATAAATCCCATGTAAAAGTGGTGATAAATAATAATCCCACCATTCTAAATTCTAGGGATTTATTAATTCCTTCCAAATTTATCTCAAGCCTTGGGTTACTTTACTTTGAAATTGTTTCACTGAGGCCACAAACCCCATTTAATGCTTTTAGCAGAGATTAAATTGGAGATTAAATCTTTAAAAACTTACTTTTGGTGGCCTTTAAAAACATATTTTTTAAAGCCTTTTAGCCCCTTCCTGTGCTTTTTAAGGAGTTTGTTAAGAAATGAAACATTTTTTGGCCAGTTGTTGATGAAAGTTTGCAGATTGCAGTAGCAGTAACCCCATTTACACAGAATTTACACAGAATTGTTTTGCTTGGCACAAACTTTTGAGGGGAAGGAGGGAATGGGAAGCATCCTCTGCTTCCCAAAGGGATTTAAAGTTCCCTTAAAATTTTATTTTTAGGTTAAAGTTGTCCATGAGATGGGTTCCTGCAGGGAGAGCATTCCCACCCCAGGGTGGAGTTCTGGGAGATTCATCAGTTGGAGTTTTCATTCCCAATTCTGCATTTTCTTTGGGGTGATAACCAAGGAATTTTGTGTCTTTTTCCAGGCTCAAATCCTTGATAAACAAAGCTCCTGTGATGCTCTTCATGAAGGGAAACAAACAGGTAACATGGAATGTTAAAATCAAAATAATTTTATTTATTTATTTAATTTTATATTTCTTTTCAGAAAAATAAAAAACTGCATTTTTACCTTGTTCTTCCTTAATTCAAATCAATGCTGCTG